TACGATATCGTCCCTACCAATCTTAAACTCCGCGCATACTAGCCAGGAAGGCGTCTGAAATATATGAGTTACTCGACGACCCCACGACCGTAACGACTTTCGGATGCTGGGCTAGGCTCTTTCACGGCAGTCACTCTCGACCAAGACTTTTCTGACATCCTTTCACGACCTTCAGTTTGTCCTGCGGCATGAATCAGGGGAAGAGCAAGGAGGAGGCTAGGAAGATTGAGAGACGCTCTTAGCTATGCACAGGTCTGCTGCGCCCGGTTGGCTGGCATCTTCGTCATAGGAGAGACCCGCACCCAGTGGTTTTTGAGAATTTTCCCTGCAGCTACACACCGGTGAATGGCCATCGTTTCGTTGGCTGGAGAGGGGAGATAATGATGGGATAACGGGTCCTCTTAATGTGTACTCGAATGAAGGTCTGTGGGGGTATTACTGCCGGAAAGAAGTCGTGGGGGAGGCAAAGGAAGGAGTACCCTATCCGAGGTAAAGATACTCCTGGCCTGTAGGTAGGAAGGACCTACATGTCCTCACATAATTATAGACTCATTAGGACAATAAACACTCACTCACTCGGACAATTCTTTTCTGCAGTAGCGTACAGCAAGAATGCGAATTGATCAGACAATCTTAGACCTATTTCGGCTCCTATGCGGGCTGCGTCAGGAATGCCCAGCTTTACCAATCCTTCTTTTGCTTTACATGCAACCAGTTCTGTAGACACCAAGAAAGCGATATGGATATGCGGATGATGTAACAATGATGGAATCCCCTCGGAAATTTGAAGAGTTCCGTCAGAAGTTACAAGTAATCCCAGGCCTAACGCTGCGATGGAGACGTGAAAATGGCGTACAATTTGAGAACGCAAAGACTGAGGTACAATATCTTTATCACAAAATGAAATACATAGAACTCCATTTCTGGTAACAAGAAATGTAATATTGCAGAACGAATATACAAGTTCGCTTGGTGTAATTTTTGATAGGAAACGTATATTCAAAGAACGTGTAGTGTGTTAGTGCGTGTGTGAGTTTAATGTGTTACTTGAGTCTATGTGTTGTAAAGGTAAGAGCTTACGGAGGTTAATTGGCAGAAGGTTTACGGATGATTATCGATGAATCAATACGAACTGCTGATATATTTGATATTCTGGACTACGAGGATTTAGGAGGTATAAAGCGCCAGTTATATACATATCTGAGGTAGTCTCAAGGCGAGGTTAGGACAGTGTTCCACAGGGTGCGTATGTGGTTTAACGAAGATCTAGGTGGTAGATGAAGGTGATGAGTGGGTCGAAGGGATGACTGGTCTTCTCTAGGAAGAGACAAATAGGTAGATAGTAGCGATAGAGGCTACACGTGGGTCTTGCTGATGAAGAGCTGGAAATAGATAAATGGTCTTCCCGAAGAAGAGATGGGTAAACAAATGTATTGTTAAGGTAATTGATGAAGACGTTGCGTGAAGAATAATGCTTCTTCACGCCGAGTATTTATATACATAAAATTACCAAATAGCACGTAGCACACAGCCCCTATGCCCAACAATCTGCTACACATCACCTAATGAAACCAGCCCATTCTTATCAGTCTTCCTTGCTAGTTTTAGAAGTGCATTGAACTATTATTTGTGTTTTAACTTAGCCGTCCGCATGGCGTTTAATAATACGCTATGCCACAATGATCCATGAAAGGTAGCTAGACTCTAGCCTTATTTACCCAAAACAGTATCACGGAATATTCTAGTATCCCCCATCTGGTATTATTATCTAGAAACACTTTCTACACAGTGCTCCATTACGCTTCTACTCATCATGGAGCGACCTGGAAAGTTCTTCCTTCACCCTCAGTGAACATTACCCTTGTGCATCGTAATCCTAGCCATCACCAGCACAACACTATGACTATCTAACACATTGGGCTCCCCTCTGACCCAGACCACACCTTTTACAGTGATCTTATCCTCTTTTGTTACTTGAAATATCATTGATATATTGCTCATGATGGATGGCCATTCAGCTCAGCGCTTTTCTGTATAATTCAGCCTCTTTTTCCACGGAACTTTCTGCCTCATCAAAAGTAGGAATAGAAGCAGCGTGCGCGGGAAAAAGTCTCCAAAAAATCTGCTGCCCCAGCCAGGCGAGGCCTAGACACCAGGACCACATGAGGTGCGCATATTCATCTATATCTCCCTTCCTTGTAACGGTCGAGGTCGACTTGATCCAATCCGCCATCTCCGTATCGGGTGCTGGGTACGCTCCGGAAACTCATCGGATGGCTTTTCCTCCTTGATCAAGGTTTGGTGATGAGTAGGGCTCCGACCCTACCATCTGATCTGATCGTGGTTAGCTTCATGATAATGGTGATAGGGGGATGTGTTGAGTGATGAAGACGATGCAGACCGCGAAAGCGATTGGGAGTCCTCTTCTAAGTGAGGACTTTGTTACTCAATCTCGGCTCTGCAGACTCTACAGTGAGAACTGGAGGTTCGTAGGGGACACCGCTGACAGGTGTTGAGAATAGTCCCCCTAGCAGTGCGGGTCGCCGCTGCCGACTCGAAACACCCATAACGAAATAGATAGAACTCTTCTCATTTTATGTGGATCAAACGTTAGCAGCCTCTAGAACTCTCACTTGACTCACTGGTACCACCAAGGAAAAAGATGGACCGGGTCATTAGAAAAGGAAGAAATTGGCGCCATTGGCCGCAGAGTCGGGACAGAAAATTTTCAGATTGAATTCCTCAGAAAGTATCAATATACTAGATCTTATAGTGTATTCAGATGGATCCTTGGATGAAGATGAAATCGGCGGTGTAGATTATTGTATCTACCGCGGATCAGAGACTGTAAATTTCACATGGAAAGACCCCCCCAGGATGCACTACCGGAGTGTACAACGCGGAAGTAATTGGAGCTAACAAAGGTCTCAAAGCTAATATTGCGCATTTTATGGCAAAATATACCTTCAACGTTACTACCTGTCCTGACAACGAAGAAGCCGCACTACGCCTACACACTGGGCATCGAACATAGTTCAGCCCAAGATTCATCGGCGAGTTTCGGGCACTAAGAGAAAGTTGGTCCACGACAACGCGTGATCCAGGGATTGCAACCAGAATGGTGGAAGCTGGATAGATTTCGAGATATGTGGGCATACGAGGAAATAAAAGAGCCGACGATTTAGCAAGGAACGCCTGCAGGGAGTCTACCATCCGCAGTGAAGTTTAGGTCTCAAGAGCGACAAGGCTCTTCAAGGAACGATATGAAGCAAGCATACCGACGTACTGGTAATTAAATGCTCCTGAGCGCTGCAAGTTTTGCGAAATACAGATGATAGGAAAAATGCCGGAAGAACTTCGATCTCTCTCCCGAAGAAATCTGGGCTCACAAATAGCGGCGCGGTCAGCACATGGCGACTTCACCGCTTATCACAGAAAATTTAAGATAAAGATGCAGTCCTCTTTTGTAACTGTGGGATAGGAGAATCGCCCGAACATCCTTTCACGTGCCGAAGATTGAGCAGTATATGTAAACCACGTTCTAGAACATCACGAGGTCTGGAGATCAATATAAGGTGGACTTTTGGGTCAACAGCAGGATAAAGGGCTTTTGAAAAATGATGCAGCAGTACACAATTTCACAGTTTGGGCGTGAGTAACTGATTTCTGGTTTGGTTTTGGAAGTTTGCGAAATATTTGGAGTGTTTGGCGTCTGGGGCAATTCTTTTTTTGGGGAAAAAAAGCTAAGGCTCGGCTCGTGATAAAACATATTTTAAAGAATTGGCTATGGCTGCATAAGATCTTGGCTCCCGGCTAAGCTGCTGGTGCAGATAGAAAAGTTTTTTGGATAAGATGATAGATACGTCTAGCGGCTTCCAGAGGGCTCATAAGCCTATTCGGCGTTCCATGAAAGCTCACTCACTGGAAAATTTATAACTAGTCGAAGTACGATTCAGATAGGTAACCACAGATAATTATAAACAAACTTCTTACCCGACTGCTCAAGCATCAATTCCCGATCCACGACACCCTCTAGCGCTTCTTGCGGATGATATCCAGACTATCAAGGTCACTAAATTTCAAAGTGCCATTTAACATGTACACGAAATACTAGACAAGTGCGATAGCTAGAGAGCGGTATTCACATTTAAATATAAAAGGATCCATACAGTAGCTTTAGTGTGGCAAGGCTAACGCGCTCAAAGTTGGTGAATGCACTTGAAGTGATGAGGCTACTGCAGGAACACAGGAGGAATTTTTCAATGGGTAGCATCCATCGTGCCAAGCTCTTCTTGTTGTGATGTAACGCTCTTCCATCTGCGGACTTCGTGGTGAGCAGTTACTACAGCTCACGTGGTGGAATACGGGAGCGTTGTAAAAGAGGCGCCAGCCCAATTGCCAGATCTAAGCGACGACGGGCACATGTAGAACTGTAGCACATTCTCTGTAGATAGACATAACAAGTAATTATCATCAAACAATTGAATCAACCTCCACACAATTGAGAGCCATAAAAGTGCCAAACTTTCATACAACCCTCAATTGTATTGTCGCAATCGCATCTGTAACGAGCCACCATTGCATTCCAGAATACACTCTCTAGCTGTGATAAACTCCAACACCAGGTCTAGCATATAATCAAAATACTTCTAATCCAAAATTAATGCAATGGATAATAAGGTTCATGTAGAGAATCATGGTTTGCCCGCTGTGTAGGGTCCAAACACGCTACCAACGTGACGTCAGACAACTGGCAAAATTGTCATGCATCCCGACGGGCTAGTCTGTTAAAAGCAACGCTTCGGAAAGCAGAAATTTCTAGAAAATCAAAATAAATCATCAACTTGGCTTCGTCTCGTCAAAGAATTCCTAATTGGTACTGCTTGAGGAATTATGAGCTCTGATAAAATAAAAAAGTTCATAAAGGAAATTTAAAATTCATTAATTCAACCAGAATAGAATAAGTAACAAAGAATCCTCTCCACTCCTATCCTATTCAATCATAAAAAACAATCGCTCAACTCTTCCGTTTCACTAGTATATTCCTTCTCACAGTAGTCTTCCAAGCTTTCTATAATTTTTACGTTCTCGTCTATTTTCAAATTGAAATTATTTACTCCTTCAACTGCCGGAATCAGCGACTTGAGCTGTTTGATATCCCAATTATTCCTTAGTTCTGAGGCTGAATGCTTTGAATTTGAAATACTATTCCCAAAATAAGTAAGCGGTTCTTCGTGTGTTAGACTATGAGTACACAGCAAACCATCAGGCTTGCTAATACTTTGAGATCTAGCCAGGTTTTGGTTACTTTCAATACTGTTTTGATACCTTTTGTCGCATAATTTTCCGAAATGATTCCCTGGTGAGCGAAGTGGCTCTTGATTCTTAAGAGTAGAGTTATCAGGTTGTATATAGGAAGTATTTTCCGATAAATTTATTTTGACCGAATCCTGAGACTGAACTGTTCTCAGTAGTGATCGGAATGGAACAGGTGGTGTGTTCGAGGTGAAGTTAATTGAAAAATCCCCTGAATTTTTAGGAGAAAATTTTGTAGTATTAACTAGGTGGTTTACATCTCTACTCATCGTTTTTTCTTTTACGCTATTCTTGTTTGCTATGGTAGCACTTTTTTGTTGATTTGGACTAGGTGCACATACGACTTTCTTTGTTTTATACTGAAAATCTTCCCCATCTTCCGCATCAAATACTCGAGTGTGCTCTCGAACATGGCCCATATGAAATGAATCAGGTGTTATAGGTATTGCATTATCATCGTCAAGCGAGGAATTTATAACCTCGTTGTTATATTGAATTCCGGAAATTCTTGTTGACACCTCTATTACCGAATTATTAATATTATCTGAAGAGGATTTGTCATGGAAACAACTTTGAAAATCTCTAGTATAATTATCAGATTGGCTAGTCGTTAGGAAATCATATGAAGGTGTATCGGAACGATAAATCTTCCGCTCTTCGACTTTCTCTGAGCTTCTAGAACGCATACTTGAAGACCTAGAATATATACTTTCAGTGTAGGATTTTTCTGGTATTCGGTCATTTTTCGAATTGGTAGAGCCCTTATATTCTGAAATACATAATTCCGACGATTGAGGTGATTGAGGTGGATAGTAAATTGGTAGCTGTAAAGCTGAGAATCTTTTGGGTGAGCCCTTACTACTGTAAGTTGATTCGCATTCCTGTCGATATTTTTCCCCCGAATTGGGTCGTACTTCGTTTAGGGTAAGCTCCTGCGTTGTTTTTTTGACTCGAGGTCGATAAGCCATCCCTTCTATATCTCCGCCACACAATCGGGTGTATGAGGCTGTTGGTAAAATTGTGGTCATTTCAAGTGGCCAAGTTTCATCTTTATTCTCTTTTTTGGATTGTGATAGCTCATGAGTAGCTTGCATCTTTTTTGGGGGCATTTTTGGGTCTTGAAGAGAAAGACATGGATTTTTCATTTTGTGACTTAAGTCTTCTTTGTCAATAGATACGATTTGATTTTCGTCTTCCCATAAATTATGAGACTTCTTATCGATATTGATTTGACAGCCTGTATCTACAATTTTACCTGAAACTCTCCGTTTTATAGTAGGTAAAAAAAAATTCTTTTCAGCATAATCATTAGGTTCGCCCACCTTTCTATCATATTGTTGGTTTGATTGCTTAAGATAAGTTCCTCGCAATTTGTCTGTTTTAGCTCTAGGGTAACTGGGTTTGATACGCTTCATCAATGCTGAATATATCCTAGCACTACTAATAGTAGCAGATGTTGTAAAACAGTTCTTATCCTGTAGTGACCGATCTGAAGGTTCAGCTTGATCCGACTGGAAGGAAAATCGAACATCTTTTTCCCCGACAGTAGATAGACAAGTATCTATTTTCTGTGGGGAAGGCGACTTTCTTTGACTGACAACTGAGTCTACAGCAGTACTATTCCAGCTCGTAACCCGAGATTTATCAATACTATTGTCAGTCTTTGAGCTTTTGATACTTCCAGCGTGCGATCTTAACTGATTACCTGATGCAACGCCATGGATTGACGGCATGTGGGACGCAACATTAGCTATTGACGCTCGGTCAGATTTATAAATTTCAGTGCTCGACTTGCTTTCAGTGTAAAGTTTTGAATCATATTGGCAAGCATATATATTTCTTGCTTCAACCTGTTGGCTTGGAACTAGAATAGTATCATCCTTGCTAAGTCCAAGAGCTTTCTGAATTGTGCTCTTTACCGACTTCGTAGCCTTACGAGCAGCACCTTTAAAGCTAGGGTTCCTCGAGACTTGGATTTGGTCGGGTAATGATGGAGTAAGTTGCCTACTACTGCCGGTTGTTTTATGAGCCCAGTTTTGACTAACTTGTTCTTGTCTCGGGGTCCTTGATCGATGAAAGAACGATGGCTTTTCTCGTAGGCGTTGCTGCACTGCTTCGTGCAAAAAGCGATCTCGAGCGATATTAACTGCCGAGTATTTCTCTTCATTTTGCTCTCTTTTCTCGCGTAGAAAACTCTGTGAATTGTTCGCTATGAAGTTTTCATGTTGAAACTGTTCATGCGATTTAAAAGAACATTTCTCTTGAGAATTTCCTGGTTTGCAGAAATTTGAAGCATCGAGAGAGCATGACAAGTGGATTAAATTTTTTTTTGAATTGAATGTTTGCGATTTACAATCGTTGTCAGTAAATATATTTATAGAGCTCCAAGAATCGGCTAGACCATCAATTTTCCTCTGAATCGAAGGTGAGAAGTCAGGAGAGGAGTGAGTTTCTGGAACAGAAATCTTGTCAAAAGTCTCACTAGGCTTGTGTTTGTAATTGTTTATTTTATATTCATTCTTTCTTGTAAACAATTGTTTCTGTGTTGAATTTGGCCCCACAAATCGAACGCTATGATGCCGTCTAATTCTTTCGTGCTCGTTTTTAGTTCTGCGATGAGTTACGTCATCATAGTAGTGTAAATTTGTGAAACTTGATACGATATCATTCCCAATATTACTCGTCCGTTTCTGAGCACGATCAAATGCAATAGTTGCCGCTGTTTGTGCTTCAAAAGGGGCTGCATCCTGACTACTGAGTTTCAACTGGCCTTTAATTGAATGGTTCGAATTCTGATGGTCTAGATGTCTCTTACAATTCTGATGGAACATTTCGTAATTTTCTACCTTGTATTATGAGCTACTTATTTTTCGTGGACAGTTAATTTTACACTGGCAGCTATATAACTCGTTGTATGCAAACTTATAAACTCCATGTTTACAGCACATTAGAGAGCAGTTGCTGGCTTATTTTACAAGTAGGTGCGACCGGGCGATGTTGATTAGGTATTTCATTTGATTCTTACATAGGCTTCTCTACTGTCACATACAATAGAACAGTTATTTTAAACACTTGTATGAGTATGAACCTATTGAAAAACAAATAGAATGCAAAGCCCTGCAGCAAAACCTATACCTCTAGTAATTCAGGCAGTCTCCTAATTGGACAGATGTATAACTTTCAGCACTCATTAGCTAGTTAACGTATCGATACTCTAACCATTTGACACTATTTAGACTCCAAATTCATCGCAAAGCTCGTGTAAACTCAGGCTAACGGCATCAGCTATCTCCCTGGAAACAGCTTCAGCTTCGTTTATTGCTTCTTCAACCTTGTCACCAATATTCTCCGACAAAAAGTCAATTTCTTCTTCGAAATATTCCTTGAAAGACTCCATAGTGGAAGTGTTTTCCTCTGAAATGAATTCATCGTAGGAGCGGTCAACTGTCTTGACAATTGCAGAGAGGTTAGACAAACCTCCGCCGTTCCAAATCAAATAATTAGGAGTATTTGGGGGCAAATCTTCCAACATCTCCCTTGTGCTGGCGGCGATTATATCATTCTTCAGCTCTTGCGGAGAGAGCATTGTAGTAGCAAAGTCAGAATCCGCTTCGGGTTGGAGAGACAAATAATATGCCATGAGTCCAGCGACGTGTGGGGATGCCATAGATGTACCGGATATCGTATTAACAGCATCTCTGCTTCCTTTCCATGTAGAAAGAACATTCAAGCCGGGAGCAAAAACATCAACACATTGTCCGTGGTTGGAGAAATAAGCCCTCGAATCGGACAAAGTTGAGGCTCCAACTGTAATGGCTTGTTGAGCAGAAGCCGGAGAGTACTTACAAGCATCATCATTGTCATTTCCAGCAGCCACGGCGAAGTGGAGACCTGCTGATACTGCCCCATTTACGGCGAGGTCGAGTGCTCGAGATTTGCCTCCACCCAGAGACATGTTTGCGACAGATCCCTTGAATCCTTTTGTTTTATTCTTGACCTTCTCGACATGTGAATTTGTAGCCCAGTCAACACCCTTGATGACATCAGACATAGTACCGGATCCATTGGAGTCGAGGACCTTGACAGCGATAATTTTGGCCTTTTTAGCTACACCATATTTCTTTCCAGCTATGGTACCAGAACAGTGAGTCCCGTGGCCATTTGCATCAGCGTCTACATCTCTTGGTATTGTTATTCCCCATGATGCACGTCCCTCGAAGTCATCGTGTTTGATGTACGTTCCAGTATCTATCACGTAGGCGTCGACACCTTCCCCAGCTCCTTCGGCATATTCATATTTGTTGAATGTGGAGAATGTTAATCTTGAGCGGTGAGATATACGGGCAAGACCCCATGGAGCACCTCTTTCGATAGCATGATCGGCAAATTTCATGGCATGAACAATCGAGTCTTTCTCTACGTAATCAACCTGATCAATTACGTACGTTAGTGAGAGTTATAATTTACAAAGTATTGTGCCAAAGGTGGTTTGTTTCAAAGTGTCTCCCATCAAGATTTGATGATAAAATGTGGTGTTATTGAGGCAGGACAAGGATCAACGGGAGAGTTACCTACATCTGGATGTTTTCGAACTTCTTCGATTATCGCCTCGTCAAAGTGTCCTGAGTAACCGAGGAAATTGCCAGCAACATTGTAAGTATGCTTGAGGCCATGATATGTGTTATCAATCATAGGCGTTTGGGATCGTTTTCGTAATTCAGTGCGCTCCACCTCATTTTGTGTGTGAATTTGTTGTATCCAGTCATGGTGTGCAAGAGCAGAAGCTTCATTGACGTGATCTTTGAAGATGACGATATAAGAGTCTGAGATGGCAGCAGTGGCCTGTGCTGATGTATGTGGATTGTTGCTTTCGGTATCAGCTTCGCAATTGTGGGTTGGAGCAGCAGAAATGAGAAGAGGTAACGATAAGATGCTGAGGAGTCCCCGCATGGTGAGTCAGAGCCCAGTGGGCAGTTGTAATATTCTACTTTGGAAAATCAGTAAATATGATTGTATTAAGATATCAATGAACAGGAGGTTGAGGATGATTGAGGAAATGAGTTGAAAGTAAGTCTTAAAACCTATGTTGGGTGGCAGCAGGCACACTGTTCCACCTACTTGTACCAGAGCTCCCCTGTCGCCAAGACCAAGCTAGCTACCAGTCAGGAATAGCGTCGCCTATAAATCCTTACTCCGATGATAAGGTTTCATGTGGGCCGCTCAATGATGGGGTAAATGCGGTTTTCATTCAAAGTTAACCTGGAGTATCCACTATGATGTATTAACACATTGACTAACCGTGAGTCACCGTGACAACTGTGGATCCAGCCCGGAACTGGCTTATCTATCTTTAGCCATCCTCAGAAAGTTGGTGTGCAGTGAACATCCGGTTGAGCAGATACGGCTTTACATTCTGATTATTTATGAATCCAAGTCACCAAATGGATTTCGCAAGCGTACCGGCGAATGCATATTGTCGTACAAGGCTCGTTCCATCGAATGCTCCCTTTGCAGAAGGTCTTAGGCTACGTGTCGCAATCAATACTACATCACTGTTTAGTCATCTACGCACGGGCTGGCCCGTGGTATTATTAACTTGTCACCATTCCCCCTTTATTTGACGCAATCAGAACACATACCAAAGCAGCGATGGTTACATTAAATCAAGACTTTACCATTAGGACTAGGGACCAGTGGCTACCTGGATTCGTGATGAACATTTAGACACTTTAATAGCATTGACTACCTTCAAGTCCGAACCAAAAGTGTGAATCTCATCTCTGCGGCGCCCAGGCTATGAGGTGTAATCGTTTCAAACCTAAAGAGATTTACAGTTGGACCGCGACCCGTCGAAGAACTGAACGAAAGCCAACACCTTCATTGATGCTAATCGTTTGTTCCTCTTCCGCTGTCAGGATTAAAAAACTTTCCAATTCGTTTTCAACCACCTCATCCAGTGTCATTCTTGCACTGAACTCATTTCCTCTCCATTCCCTAGTGATTATGACGAGCTGAGACCTCGGAATGCTCAGATTGTCATCTTCTTTGCATGTTGGTCTCATTGAGACCGCAAAGACAATATGCGTTAAACATTTAGCATAGTAAATTGACCTACCTGACGCCGTTTCTTTCCCTAGTGGGCATAAAGATTTAAATTGATGGTGCACTCTCTTTTCCGTGTCTTTTTGGAGTTTACGCCCAAGACAAGGCCAGAAAACGCAGATGGAAAGCCGACACGATCGCCGAGCTTACGACACCACCGGGAAGTAGAGAGCAAGAGTAAAGGGGTCAGTGGACATCGTAGAGCGACTCAAATAGGAGTGTGATAATCCCCAATTCGGGGTTGCTTGTGGATATTTGCTAGGACGAACGATTCTACGAGAATATGTGAAAAAAAAGCAACTCGTTCACTAAAGCCTCTAAACGGTGTTTAATATAATAGTTTATGGTAGCTAAGTGCTTATGAAACCATCCAGTTAACCATAGCGCTATCGTGCCCAGAGTGAGGCTTAAACGAATGGACTGGAGTAAATCAATAAAACTTGTGTTTTGATATCACAATTAGTATGTAGCCCGTATACATACCGCATGCATATAAATACATTAATTACTTGATCTTTCCCATACTAGAACTCCTCAAATCCAGCGAGACTTATCTTGGTCCTGGTAGCCGTCACAAGACCATCTGCAGTCCGGCGTACACACTAAGGCCAACTACCGAATGACCTAGCCTCTTGATGCCGCATAATCTGCTGTACGTCAGCTGCCCACGATCTGCAAAATGTCTTGGATCCAATATCTACAGCCATCACTTACATTTCTGGCATTCCCGATTCCGTGTATCGTATTTGTTTGCCCTTTCTCGGGTTTTGACTAGACCGGACTCGTAGAATCACCCTGATTGCAGACGAAGGATACTGGTGCCTTGGATTTTATGTACCCGCCTGTTCCTCAACAACAGCCCTCGTCAAACAATTATACCCCTCAGTAGTTCCTATTCGACCATATATTTGGGGAAGACTTTTGCCCGTCACATCTGTCCTCCTCAACCAACGGAACAAGGGCCGTTCACCGGTGAATGGAAGCTGTGTAGACTTGCAAAACCCACTAAGTGTAAGGCTCTCTTGACAACGACGTATGTGCTGAATACTAAGAGACGATTACCCATCTAAAACGTTCCGTTAGGCCAGCAAGTCGCGTATCTCAGTCTGTAGATACTCGAAAGGACCCCCCTCTACCTTTCCCGCCTCCCTTCATTACCCTCTGCATCTAGCGGCGCAGGAAAAATCAGGGGTCAAGATGAAACTTCAGAAAATCTTTGACCAGGAGTGTGTGTTGCAGATTAGCCTGGCACAACCTCCTTTGTGATGCTCTAAATACTAGGGAACGCTTTGGAGTCAATGATAGAAGTCCTGCTGACCAGACTGGATCTCAATATCAGCTGCAGGCCCGTAGGAGATAGTGCTGACCGATGTTGTAGTTTTGTCCATCATGTCTTTCATTCCATTGATTAATACACCAAAGATCAACTGTAGCTTTCATAATTGCCGTAGTCTAGAGAGCATTCGAGCAACCTCGAGGGACAAACGGTTCCCTAAAGTCACTGCAGAGTTTATTTTACCCAAGGCCATGTACTCCGCTTGTGGACCGTGAGCCAGATGGCCAGTGAAAATATACTGAAAGATTGAGCTGTGAAGATAGTCAAATATGGATCAGATCGTCGGAACTGCAGCTGAAAATCTAGTACGATAGCTAGGCTACCATTGCTGTGTAAGCTTAAAACTTCTACAGATAGACAGGTGAGTGGCCATCTTCTACTACTTGGACACCTACTCTTTTAGTCGTGAATATAGCTGTTCTGGTTTTTTCAGATGACCATTAGCAAAGTAGATTGAGCCTCTTTCGGTTAGATTATTGAGCTTTGATTTTAATTAGCAAGCGATGTAGATTGCATGCCTTACTTCTTACCGCCTCTTACAAGCTCATAATGCGCCGGCACTGCTCTACAGACGAGCCAGATGAACAATTACTCCAGAAGCAGCGTCACGACAACTTCTACGAGGAACTATTGGGTCTTCGCCATGGTTATCGCCACCGCACCATTACTTATTGCATTTAAAAAGTCAGTATATATAGCTTTAATTTATATAAGAATCTTTGGCTATAGAAATTGGCATCAAAGTAGATAGGACCAGCCACGAATGTGAAATCTTTGCTTGAGATGGAGATGTGTGACCACCATGACCTATTGACTCATGGTAGGTGAAATTTGTGTGTAATTATTTCAAATTATCATCGATAGTGGGCTAGACCTTGAAGGAAGCTCTGCGACACTTGGGATTGCAAACCCCCACAAGAATAGAAGATTTCTTCGAAGGAGCGTAACCCAATTTGAACAAGAACTGGCTGCTGATTGGGAGGGGTACTCAATCGAGTGCTGAATTTAGCTTATTTTTGGCTTGATCCACGTCTGAAAGGTAGGGGTCTAAGCTGATATCATTAGGATACCATTCACGATGTACATCGGTTTTTACGCCTAATGAGTACGTCAAGCAGTGCATTTGTCTGTTAAAGAAGCCACTAGTTAAAGAGTAGGGGACCATGGCAACAATTCATACATTTACGATGATTATTTGCTGTGTATATAGAGGTAGATTAGTGATAAATGAATAGACGGTACGATGTCATAGACCATGATTTTGGTCAACCTGAGTCGATCCAATTGCACTTCGAACCCCTTTTCATGATCATGTGAGTGGATTCAAAGTCGATGCAAGAGTAGGAAGTGCTTGACCCAGTCCGCAAGAAGCTAGTGTAGGTTCACCGTATTTCCAAGTGTCCACAATTTCATGATTCACTTAATCTTGGCGGTTAGTCGCTTCCACACTATATGTTAGAACAAGGATCTAGTCGAAAAGTTCTGGCCAGTTTATCATGTCACGTGCTGGGTGAACATGATAGCCACACTAATTTTAGCAGGAGAGATCAAGAATCGGAGTCATCTGAGCTAAGAAATTAGAGATTAGCCAGGGAGACATTTGGCACACAAAGAATGTGGGTTGATTAATACCTGTTTGCGCACGTAAGCCAAGATGCGTCTGATGACTCGTTGATAACCTGTAAATTGTTAACGACAGAATACAGTCCCGTCCAATTAAAACCACAATGATGTCATACAACTGGGGCGACAATTTTGAAGGTCATTCCCAAACTCCAGGATGTGCCATACATGTAGCTTTCTTGTGTATCTTGTTCATTGTGCTACATGGGTCTATAACCATCTGGTGTATTGGGCTCCTTTCTGCATAAGCCCACATCTCATCTAGCACTCTTGTGTTCTTTGCTTGGGAACAAAAATCTTTGAATAATGCCCATGATGGATGGTCAATTGGT